GGAATATAAACGAGATATGTGGAAACCGCAGTGATGGGTGTATGGGCAGTGCACGTACCACTACAGCATCCACCTCCATGTCATCACTGTATTTTTTAACTTCGCCGTTACCGTGCCACTTGAGAGTAGACATGGTCGCTGGCGTTGTGTCTCAGTGTATGTATAGAAGCAGGTTGATTTCCACACCGCACTCATTCACCAACAGTTTGACAGTCTTCCATGGCTGTGAGGTGATTTATTCTGAAAGAGTGGACACAGGTGCACCACTAATTCTTGCAAATACTCAGCGCTGCACTAATGAGTAAATGAAGTTCCATCCTCCTAAATGTCAGAGGAACAATGCTGGAGTCCCGATCATATTTTATGGTACAAGCAGGAAATGGAAGTAGGTGTGTGATGTGTAATGCAAAGTGGTTAGGCAGAAGGTGATTGTGAAGGGTGAGGACTTGAATGACTCAACGCAGTCTAAATTCTCTCCCTTCAAACCCCAAACTCTCATCCCTCGCTACCTCGAAATAAAATGCAAAGAAGAAACAATTCGTTGCTCATTGCGTGGGTGGATGTACAATGAAGTGGAAATGGTGGCCAGTAATAGAAATTGCCTTATTCTCAACAGAGCCCAATTGACTACACTTAGTGAGAACATTATAATATGTATGTATGTACTCTTCGCAGCGTCAAATGTCTAGTCTTGAACATAGATGGAGACGCTGCTGAGGGTTTTGTCACTAGTATAGTTGTTGATGAGACGCCGAACAGATAGTCCTTGTGAGTAAAGCAATGTCCTCTCACATGTAGCATAACTAAATCAGTACGTTGGTGTTGGATTACTTTTATGCGAAAAGAGGAGATTACGAAAGAATGGCATACTTGCGGCATCAAGTTGTACCCAATTTGGCATCACAGCATGGACCAGTTTCCCCGCCCTTGTGACTGAAGTGACTGCGAAAGGAATAAAGTAGACATAATAGGAGTACTCTGTTTGCTATTCAGGAGTAATCTAATCTGGGAAGTTGCAGTGTTGCAAATTAAAACACGAATAAATGGAGCTATTGTATTTCCTGCAACATGGAAGTCGAAAATGAAGAAGGGTAGGCTCGGTGAAGGCAAGTTATGGGCTGTGAATTTGGACGTGTCTGAAGGTGTTGCCAACTGGGAGTGAGTAACGCGAAACCTCAGGCAAGAATCACCACGATGCTGACAAACACGAGACCAGAGATGACCGAGGTAAGGGCAACTCCACTAGTTGTAGATACGCCTTCTCCCTTCCCTGCGTAAATAAACACGGCATAATTCGATGGGGAGATGCACTTCACAATCACATCTACTAGCTTACCAGTGGGCACTGTTGGAATTGATGTGGCTGGGCTGATGGTCGTGAAAATGATATCTTCCTCCCCTACGAAAATAGATATGTCATCATTCAATATGGAGATACACATCATAATCACAACTACTGGCTTACCAGTGGGCAGTGTTCTAATTGTTCCAGATAAAAGTATCATGCTCTTGGCACTTGGAAAAGACTCCATTGTCACCTTGTATGACGTGTTAGGTTCCAGTCCGACAAAAGTGATTTTTCCGG